ACTATAAAATAAAAAGACCAAAATAAAAGAACATAATTTACATTATTGACCAAAAGAAAACATGCATAAATTCCTAGGTCATATTCGAATAAAAATATAAATTAGTGACTAAAATGTAAAAATGAAAATAATAGTAGCTAAATCAGAAATTAACAATGACTAAATTAAAATAAAACAACATCAGCATGCATAATCAGAATAAAATAAAAATGGGTGATCATTGTATAAACACACTGAAATTGGGAATTTATGCGTGATTTACCCATTAATATATGTGAACCAAGCAAAAAGACCTTAGAATATGGGGACCTAATACTTAATTAGCCCAAAAGTCTTTAAAGTTTAATACGAGATTTTTAAAAATATTTTATTTTTCGTTTTTTTAGAGAGGGAGGGTCTCCCTTCTCTCTAAAATTTCAGTCGGTAGTCGGTGGTCGTTGGCCACCAAATTTTCAGGGTTTGTTCGTCTTGTCGCGGTGATCACGGATCTGGGCTCCATTTTGTCATGGGACACTCCGATTGTCGTGAAATGGCAAAAAAATGTTCGACTTTCCCGGGCTCCGATCGACGCCGTTCGCCGTTGGATCGAGCTCAAATTTCAGTATGCTGCTCCCCTCCTCGAGACGCTCCTTCTCACCGTTCGAAACGTTGAACCGACCCTCCGAACGCCGACGAGACTCCGGCGGAAGGGTAAAACACCTTTTTCCCCCTTTTTTTGTTATTATTATTTTTATTTGAAAGCTAATAAATAAAATAAAATAAAATAAAAATACCAAAAAATAACTTTAAAAAATTTTCTCTGTTTTTTATTTATGAATCCAACCCCTCCACCTTTTACATTTTTTTTCGAGTTTATATAGTCCGAATTATACATTTTTATAGTTTTTTTTTTCAACATGTTTGAAATTGTTGGGTGTCTTTATTGACTTATGGCTTGTGGATGAAGCGGTGATAGTGGAGAAATCGGTGAATAGACTCTATTTTAATTTTATTGTTGAAAATTGGTGATTACATAATGATAACAACAGGTCGTTTCCTTTGGTGAGCTGGAACACTATTTGCCAGTGGCGGTTTAGGCATTCGGCGACAACGTCACCATAACATCGCCTTTCATATGAAACTCTGCAACGCTTTAATCAGCTCACCCTATTGTTTTTGGGTCAGGCTTCTGCGCGAAATGTATAATCTTATCTCTCTTGCCCCGGACTCCATCACTAGAAACAATTGCCCCCCTTGGCCCTTGTGGCGCTCCCTGAGCAATATTTGGCCTGCCTCCAAATCTCAGCTTGTGAGTGGAAGAATTCTTAGGACACCCAAATTGATTCTTCTCTTGTTCAAGATTTTATTTCTGCGGATGGCTCTTGGAATTGGAACTCTACATCGCATTACATTCAGCCCTCGGCTCTCAATTTTTTTCATATTATTGATCCCCCTTCCAACACTGCTGGGAGTGACTTATGCTACTGGAATCATGGCACTCACAAAATATTCACCATCAAGAGTGCTTACTTTAATGTCATTAAAGACTTCTGGTGCCAACGTGATAACAAATGGAATTCCATTTGGAAGCTCTCTGTACATGAAAGAATGCGTTGCTTCTTATGGTTGGTAGGTCGTGACAGGATCCTCAGCAAAATCGCTGCAAAAGACGCATCACTCACGACCCAACTTATCCATCTTGTGGTGTTATGGAAGAATCGTCTATTCATATCCTCCGCTAGGGTGAGCATTCGATCGAGTCGAGTCAAAAAATTTTAAGTTATTCGAGTTGACGAGTCGTATTTTACAACTCGAACTTAACTTGAAAATTTTTTTAGTCGAATTTAAGAAATTGAGTCGAGTTATTTGAGTTTCTATACTAATTTTAGTATAATTATTTATAGTATTATGGAAATAATTTGTTCCAATTTTTTTACTTTGTCTAACCATAATATATATATATATATATTATTCTTTCATATTATAATGTTATTTAATATATCAAATATAATCTAAAATTATGAAATATATTCATAATATTATATTTTAAAGAAAGTATTTTGAGGGTAAAATATTGATGAGAGTATGAATGAGTCCAGAAATTGATGAGAAGATATATTTGCAAACAATTGTAGTCAAAATATCAAATTGAGTAAAATACAAAGTTAAGGGACTAAATAAAAAATAAAGTACATCTTTAGTAAAAGAAAATAACAATTGAAGTTATATATATATTCTATTGTGGTATATGAGCATGTGGTTCAAATTTGGTAAAAAAGACTTAAAATAAACCACAAATTGAAGGAATAAAGAAATTATAAAAAATTGAAGGAATAAGAAAATTATAAAAAATTGAAGGACTAAATTGAAAAATAAAAAAATTGTTATCAAAAAGAGGAATTGAAAGTGTATTCTACTATGGTTTGGGAGTATGTGGCTCAAATTTGGTAAAAAAATGACTTAAAATAAATGCTTAAGGGCCACCTTTGCCCCTATAATAGACCAAATTTATTATTTTCGTCCATATCGTATTTTCGCATCAATTTAGCCCTCAAAGTTTTTTAATTGCATCAATCTATACATTTTCCCTAACTTAAAATCCTAAATTATAAACCCTAAGTTTGTGTTTGGGGTAATAAGGTTATAGTTTAAGGTTTAGGCTTTATAATTTTAGGTTTTAAGTTAGGAGTAAGGTTTTAGAATGATGTAATTGAACAACTTCGAAGACTAAATTGATTAGAAAATATGAATTGAAGGAATAAATTGAAGAAATAAATTGGATCTACTACAGGGGCAAAAGTTACCCTTTTGCCTAAAACAAATGATGAAATAAAGAAATAAGGATATTATAAAAAATTGAAGGACTAAATTGAAAAATAAAAAAAATATTATCAAAAAGAGGAATTGAAAGTGCACATGTATTCTACTATGATTTAAGAGCATCTGGTTCAAATTTGGTAAAAAAATGACTTAATGAAGGATGAATTGAAGAAATAATGAAATCAGAGACTAAATCGTAAAACTGTCAAAATACTTGGTCAAATTTTTTATTTTTCGAGTAACTCAAAAATTCAAAATTTCAACTCGACTAGAACTCGAAAACAGAATTTATAATTCTAGTTGACTCGAATAAATCGAAATTGAAAAAAAAAATTGAATCGAATCGAATTTTTATCACCATGTCCACCGCGACTGCCAAAGGTAAAACAGGTTAGGACTGATATTCTGAGTAATTCTAATACTCCTTGGTTTTTCAATCTGCAGGTTTGAAGATTGGCTTTTCACAAATTTAAAGATCCAAGTTAAGCACCCGATTTTCAACATTCCGTGGAACGTCCTTTTTGCTTACATGCTTTCGCACGCCGGGAAAAGGAGAAATGAGAGCCTCCAACGGTGTGCGATGCAATGCGGAGACCATTCTTCACCGGAGCCTGGTCTTGGCCTGTCATAAGCCTATCTCACCTAAGTAACAGAGGCACATCAAATGAAACATAGATTCAATGGCTCCCAGCTCCAAGCGAGTGGATTAACGCCAACACCGATGGAGCTGTTGCTAGCTCGGGTTCTACTTCTTTCGGTGGAGTGTTCAGAGACCACCATGGTAGTTTCATATCAGGCTTCGCCAAGAATCTTGGCTCCACCTCCATTACTGCTGCTGGCCTGTGGGGAGTCTTACATGGACTTCAACTTGCTTGGTCCTATGGCTTTGAAAAGCTCCACGTTCAAATTGATAGCGCTGATGCCTACCAGCTTATCGAGATGGCTTCCCCAAACAGTCCTTACCCGATGATCAGATCTATGGCTGAACTTCTTAATAGAGCTTGATATGTTGACCTAAAACTCATCCGCAGAGAAGCCAATATGGTGGCTGACTTTAGAGCAAAGATCGATGACATAAATCCTGGCCAGCTGAGAGTTTTTGAGTCCACGACAACCCCACTCAATAACCACCTCCAGCGAGACATCCGGGGTCCTCCTTATGTCCGTCGGGGACATGCCTAGTTCCTTTTTCTACGCTATTTTTCATTCCAATATATATAGTTAGAGAAAGTCAAAAAATTTGAACTAATATGTAACATAATACAATAAATAATTATAATTAAATTTATATAGAAATTCAAACAACTTGACTCGACTTGAAAAAAATTAAATCTACTTTGAATCATAAAATATGACTTGTTAAATTACTCAAATTTTGTTAACTTGATTTGACTCGATTAATACTTACCCCTTACTGCTATAATTTATCTTGTAATTATTTTATTTTAGAAATACAAGAAATGAAAGAAGAAGAAAAATCAAAATATTTGCATTTATTAAATTGAATGAACTTAAAATTTAAAATAATCTATAATGACGGTCAATGTGAATCAACTGACTCTAGGTTCCTACTTAAAATAGAAGAAAATGAGGAAATTATATATTTTGGAATCTAACAATCCTTGGTGACAATGGCTAATGCCGACCGATGGTAATTGACAATGACGGTGGAGAGTGGTGTTTCGCTGAGAGATTTTGGTCAAATTCAATGATTAATTTGATATTTAAATTTTAGGGGTCAAAATAATATTTCATTTAAAGTTTAAGGTCTAATTAGTATTCAATCTAAAGTTTAGGGGGTAAAAGTTAAAAATTAATCCCTTTTGATTAATGTGTCACGTCATCAAATTAACATAAATTAAAAATTTAATGATTAAAATGTAGAAATTGATAATATAAGTGATCAAAATTTAATAAATCAATAATATAAATGATCAAAATTTAATTTTTTAAATTTGATGAGTAAAAGTGTATAAACATGAAATGAAAGTAACCAATTCAGTAGTTTACCCAACATGAATTTATTTCACTGAAAAGACCAATAAGCCCTGCAAATCTCAACTTATTTACAGTTGAATCAGCTGCCATGTACGATACAGACAAATGATGCGCCTGCCCTCTCCTTCACTTTCACTTCGCTCGCATCCAAATCTAACAATTCCTTCCTTCATCTACACCCATCTACCCATTAGTCTTTGACTTACAGGCGGCTCTCCAAAATTTCATGTTGTCAATTTAAATGCTCATTTTATGCTCTCATCATTAATCCACTCTCACAACATCCCTTCATCAATTCATTAACACCCCATGCCTTTGATCATTTCCTTATCAATTTTCCATATGATCAAAATCTAATTTTTAAGACTATTGGGATCCCATTGTTTCTCTCTATGCTTTTTCTTGGTCAGACTGAAATCTACTACCTTGGGTCTTTCTTATTTTCTCTTGTGGCTGTAAAGAGTGTTCTTTCTTTGACAATTTCAGTTGTAAAATTCTTGATCACTCATCGGTCATCACTTATGACATTGAAACCCTAATGGGAGAAATACCCGGATTGGTTTTTTGGTACAGCTATCGATTTATGAGTCGATTGGAGTTGCAATTTGTTCCTTAGCCATCATTGTATGTCTCTGGTGAGTGTTTGTCTTTGACCCTTCACATGGTGTGGAAGCATGTTTCTCATTGATCCTTAAATTTTTTCTGTTAACAGCAATAATCTTAATTATTGAGTTTTGGAATCAATTCGTATATTTCTTTTAGCATGTTCGTTTAATAGTGCATCCTAGTCTAGTCGTGTTCATTATATTCTACTTTCCGGTTCAAGGTTTCGTACTTCTAATAATTATTTTGCACTTACCTGTTGAGGTTTTGTATATTGTCTGTCAATCAATTTGCTGAATTGGAATACTTTGTAGTTGAAAATTATATAATCAAACCTCCACAAGTTATATTTCCTTTTCTTCAAATTGCAGATTTTGAATTCCAAGTTCTACAGTCACTGTTGAATAGATTTGGATTTCGTATCTCACCGACCTCTCAAAGCATTAAGAAAGTTGCATATTCTGAACCCTGTCTCGTATTTCTTACATCAGTAGACTATTTCCCTAGATTCTTAGTCATTTACATGTGAAATCCCATATTTTATGATCTACATTGCCATAATTAGAAAACCAGGCATCCATGTCAATCATATGTGGCGTCCCACTCCTCGAATGTGTTTACTGTCTGGCATGTGCACGCTGGGCATGGAAAAGGTGTCTTCACAGCGCTGGCCATGACAGTGAAACATGGGGCCTTGCGACTGTTGAAGAATTTGAGCCCGTGCCACGACTGTGCAGCTATATTCTAGCAGTCTATGAAGAGGATATTCGACACCCACTTTGGGAACCCCCTGGAGGCTATGGGATCAACCCAGATTGGTTGATTCTAAGAAGAACTTATGAAGACACTCAAGGGCGTGCCCCTCCATATATATTATATCTCGATCATGATCATGCCGATATAGTTCTTGCCATTAGAGGTCTTAATTTGGCAAAGGAGAGTGACTACCAATTGCTTTTGGATAATAAACTGGGGAAAAAGAAATTTGATGGAGGCTATGTTCATAATGGACTCTTGAAAGCTGCAGGATGGGTTTTGGATGCAGAGTGTGATATTTTGAAGGAATTGGTGGAGAAGCATCCGAATTACACTTTGACATTTGCTGGACATTCTCTTGGTTCGGGTGTAGCATCCATGTTGGCATTGGTGGTCGTTCGACACCATGACAAACTTGGAAACATTGATAGGAGGAGAATTAGGTGTTACGCAATTGCACCTGCACGGTGCATGTCACTGAACTTAGCTGTCAGATATGCAGATGTCATCAATTCCGTGGTTCTTCAGGCAAGCTGTTCTCTTTTCTTTTCTTTGTTCGTTTCTTTCAATTTATTGTTTGTTTCAGACTTTATGTGGTAGGAATGATACTATCAGTTGGTCACATAAAAACATCATGTTGTTATTGCCATCTGTAGAAGTCCCAAAGAACGGTAATTGTTTGTACTTTGTAGCATTATACTTGTGAATCATGGTGATTGATTTCTAACTTTTTATTTATTTAAATCTTCAATATATCAGTTATTATATTATTATTATTTTTTTCTTTCTTATTTAACTATGGTTACGGGTGAATTAGGATGACTTCTTGCCACGAACAGCCACGCCTTTGGAAGACATTTTCAAGTCTCTCTTCTGGTATGGTTGGACTTTATCACCCATTTCAATTACAGTAATGTTTACAGCTGATAGGCTCCTGGGGCATATTCTAATATCCTTTTCAAAGCTAGTCGCACAGCCTCCTCTTCCAAAGGAAGAAAAGAGAGTTATAGATCCTCTATTGTTGCGAATCTAACCACTCTTTCTTTCGGTGTTATTTACAATCTATTGACAACTTATTGGTTTCCCATTTATACAGTTTGCCCTGCCTGCTTTGTTTGAGATGCATGAGGGATACTTGTATACCAGAGGAGACGATGCTTAGAGATCCAAGGAGGCTGTATGCACCTGGCCGCCTCTATCATATTGTTGAGCGAAAGCCTTTCAGGTATAAAGACTTAACAAGGCATAAGAATCAGTCTCTCCTCTATATTTGCATATTGCTTACTGAGTTCGATTTTTTATTACTTTGAGATCACCTAGCGAGGTCAGATTCTAGTACCGGCTCGTACGTTGGGATAGGTTTCTAAATTCCGTTGCACCAATTGTTTTGGTCATTATATAGCATAGAGAAATACAAAAAGACCCCGAGCCGTATGTTTCTATCTAAGATGTCCTTAAACTAAAAATAAATAAGACAGCAGGATTTCATAATAAAAAGATTCACCACAATGCATATGGAAGTTTGACCTCTTGATCAACTGTTTATACATCACCGTTTTAGGTTAGGAAGATTCCCCCCTGTTGTCAGGACAGCAGTGCCGGTCGATGGGAGGTTTGAGCACATTGTTCTTTCTTGTAATGCCACCTCGGATCATGCTATAATATGGATAGAGAGAGAAGCACGACGAGCTATGGATGTAAGTTTTTTTTTTTGTGTGGGGGCCGGGGGGCGGGGTGTAATAGCCGATGTTGACAAATGTTTTATATACATTTTTAGCTGGTGTTTATAATTTTTTATGCTGGTTGAACCAGAACCGGCTCGACCTTTGGTTCAGTTTTTAATCCTTGTAATACACCTTATGTGAATCTCTCTCCGCTTGTTGGTTTCAAATGCAAGAGCACTGAAACGAAATCTCAAACTTATCTCGATTTTGCTTCAGATAATGCTGGAGGAAGATCGGATCATGGAGATCCCAGCAAAACAGAGGATGGAACGGCAGGAGACTTTAGCTAGAGAACACAGTGAAGAGCACAAAGCCGCTCTCCAAAGGGCTGTAACACTGTCAGTGCCTTACGCTTTTTCACCTTCACAATATGGAACTTTCGATGAGGGAGAGGATGGGGAGAACTCCCATAAATCTAGCGGGGATGCCGAATCATCTGTCCGGCCATCAGGGAAAAGCAAGAATAAGGAAAGCTGGAATGAGTTGATCGAAAATCTTCTCGAAAAAGATGAATCTGAGCACATGGTGCTCAAGAGGTCACATAGTTATGATTGATGATGATGATGTACACTAAGGGATAACACGCACAAAAGATCAAGCATTATGGTTGTGATGAACAGTATTCATTGATTCATTGTGCTCCGTTCCTATTAATAATTTTAGGGTAAAGTATAGTAATGGTCACTAAAGCTTTCATTTAAGTTCCCAACTTTTAAAACTTGCAATGCAGTCCCTTAACATTTAGTCTGTTTGCAATATGGTCTTTCAATATTTAGTCTGTTTGTAATATGGTCTTCGATGTAATTGTTTGGGGATCATATTATAAACGGATTAAATATTGGGGTATTATATTGCAAGTTTTAAAAGTTATGTGACTTAAATGAAAGTTTAGAAAAATTCAGTGACTATTACTATATTTTACCCTAATTTAAATTTGGCTCTAATGCACGGTCCACCATTTTCTTTGATTCCACGATGATATGCAAAATATATAAGCAATTATACATAAATTTATATATATATAAAAATGAGAAAAATTATGTCAATGTTAAATATATATATATATATATATATATATATATATATATAATGAGAAAAATGGATGTCATTATCAATGTAAACCCTAGACTCAACCTGTACGATATGATTAACTCTAACGGATTACAATAAAAAAAATTAAAATATTTTTAAAATATTTTAAAATCATATAATAACCAAAAACAGTATTAAAAATATAATTTCGTAAATATATGCAAAATACCAAATGACAAATATTAAATTTATCGAACATTAATAAAAAAATAAAATACGTAATAAAACAAGTATTTCAAAATATAGGCACATGTCACCTAAAATAAAGGCAAGTCTGAAAATGAAAATATTACAACAAAATATACTATACGAAATGTGTCAATCCTCCAAGTGTCAAGTCCGAGGTGTCTATCAAAAAGTGAACAACCCTATCAAAAATAACACAACATGAATGTTTTAAAGTTTCATAATTCGTACTACAAAAAGTGTATCACTAAACACATACTTACATACATCTCCAAAAAATTGTAACATTTAACACATACTTACACCAGTATCATTATTTATATCTCTCAATATAATTATAAATTTAATTTATTAATGATTAATCGTTTATCAAAATTCATAACTGTAACCTTAATTGTTAACCATCATTTTTAGCAGTTAAGATAATCGAAACCGTTTAACATTAACGGTTCAATTAATTAACCTATTAAATATATAGGTTATACCGATTAAAATTATGGTTTTTTTAACAACCCTACTTGTTATCCTCCTCGGTGCTATGAATGAAACTGAGTGGTCCTAAAATTGCAGGGGAGCAGACCCACATGCTGTAGATGGAGAAGGTAAAACTCCTCTTCAGCTTGCTTTGGCATCAGGTATCAATGAAAATGAGGTTTTGGCACTCTTAACAGATTGATAGCATAGTATAGTGTTCAGAATCCCAAAATAGAACACCAATATTTTGGCCTTCCACTCTAAAAAATAAGGCCTATTCGTATACAAAGTTTCGCTTACCAAGGTTTCTTCAAGTGTGTGTAGCTCCTCCTGTCATCTTAGTAGTTCCTTTGGGTGCTATGTCATAGTATATGACTTACATAAAAAATAAGCAAATAAAGTATATCATCTTTTTCATTTGAGTACTTAAAATATTTCTTGATCAAAATAAATATTTTAACTTATCTTTTATTATCAAAATAGGTACCTAAAGTATTTAATTTTTTTCATCTAATTCGTAAAGATCTTTAATTAATGTTTTTTATAACTTAGATGAAAAAAAATTAAATACTTAAGGTACTTATTTTGACCAAAAAAATATTTTAAATACTTAGATAAAAAAATATACTTTATATACTTATTTGTAATATAGGCCTATATATATATTTTAGTATGTAAATTTTACTCGATGATTGGGTAGCTTAAGCTAAATTGCAAGACATAATGTGACATTAAAACACATGCTCCTGCACTTTTGAGCTAGTTATACGTGGAAATGTTTTCTCTTTCTTTTTCTTTCTGAATTTAGAAAGAAAATGATAATGTAAGGAGAGAATTCAGAAGTTATGATATGTATTTTTCCACTTAAATTGTTTTTTTCTACTTAAATTATTTTGTTTGACACTGATACTTTGATTCAAGGATTTACAATATTAATAGATAAAAAAAAATTAGTGAATGTTTCTCTATTGTATGACATACTTTATTTATATTTCTACATAAAATAAAGGGTAAAGTATAGTAATGGTCACTAAACTTTTCTAAAGATTTCATTTAGGTCTCTCAACTTTTAAAACTTGTAATACAGTCCCTCAACATTTAGTCCGTTTGCAATATGGTCCCCCAACATTTAGTCCGTTTGCAATATGATCCCTGATGACTGTTGGGGACCATATTGAAAACAGACTAAATGTTGGGGACCATATTGCAAGTTTTTAAAGTTAGGGGACCTAAATGAAAGCTTTAGAAAAGTTCAATGACCATTAATATATTTTACCCATAATTTTATATGGCAGTTTTCATATATCACAATGATATTATTTAAAACTGACACCAATATTGAAATATTCAAATTAGAGTATTAATCAAGAAACAATTGAGTAACTAGCAAGAAATGAGGTGCATTGATAGACATGTAAAATTGTGGTCATTAATGAATAATTTTATAAAAATTAGGTGTTGGAGTTAAATGTTTTCACTCATAACCACGAAACACCTAGCAATGAAGTTTCAAGGAAAATTAGCTAAATTGAAGAACAAATTATGATATCCAAGTGTAACACTAGTTAACCCCTTTAAGAAAAAGGAATAGTTTAAATAAAGAGGGTGGGACTTGGGAGCATTTGGATGGTTCATTTATGAATAACAAACATGATGAACATATAAAAGACTAACTCACAATAAAGACAGGTTAATCAACATCTTTGACATATTACAACAATAAAGCATGCATAATAGTTGACTATCTGCAAAAGTGTTTCATGGCTTATTCAATGAAAAGTCATCTCGAATGCTGGCAAGAAATACTCTAAACTCTCTTGCTTTCCTTGCATGCTCGGGTGATTTCTCAGTTTCCGAGTCACTCAAATCAATTATACTAATGTGCTGATCATTCATTTGTGCACATCTAGAGACATTCCTGGAGTGAATTAGTGGAGAGGGGCTCAAAATATCAATAACTTCATGCTTTGAAACAATCGAACCGGTTTCCCGACATAAGATCGCAGCTATGGAATCAGCATTGCCTTCTGAATCCAAAATAACAGGGAGGTCTCGGTTTATGAAATTAATATCAGATCCTTTGGTCACTTTGTCAGATATTATTTCTCTTGAAGCCATGGGACTGGATTTGTTCCCCAACTCAATGTCAAGCAACAGATCTTGGAGTTTCCCAGGGCTCAACAGATCAATAACTTCATGCTTTGGAACAGTCGCACCAGTTTCCCAACATAAGATCGCAGCTCTGGAATCAGAATTGCCTTTTGAATCTGAAATAACAGGGGGATCTCGGTTTATGAAATTAATCTCAGTCGCTGTGGTCATTTTGTCTGATATAATTTCTCTTGAAGCCATGGGACTGGATTTGCTCCCTAACTCAATGTCAAGCAACAGATCTTGGAGTTTCAGGTCTATTTCAGCCACAGAACATTCTTTTCCTGATTTCTTCGGTCTTGATTTTCGTTGGTTTTTCTTCCCTAGAGCTCTTCTCTCATCAAACTCTTTGACCTCTTCAGGACAAGCACTGTGGAAAACAGGAAATTAATCCTTTATTCAGAGAATACATTAATAACTCAGAAGAACCAAGAGGATGGATATGAAAAAAATCTGCCAAATCTTTCAGAGTTGAGGGAGAAAGCTATTAAAGGGTTTGAGATTATATTGAATATAAAAGCACATTTTTTGTTGTGATATTGGCGTCCAAAGATCAAACTGAGACAGTATCTCACAGTTCACTCTACTATTCATGGTGATCGAGCTTATATGTACGGATGTCAATATATACCAGTAAGCAATTATGATACCGGCAACATACCTCTCTACAAGATCTGCAGAAACTACAGAGCTTTTAACTCCATAGGACTCTTCCCACATCACCTCAAAGCATTCTTTTCCATTAACTTTTCGGCGCTTGATAATTGCTGATACAGGACACTTTACAGGCACCTGTAATGGGAGACCTTTTAATGGAATGCTATCATTTAAAGATAAGCAAGCACCAACAACATCACAGGAATTACAACAGAAAGTTAAATACTACTTTACAATATTCTGGTTATCACATTAAAAGCTGGAGGCTTTCAGGCAATCACATTCGAACATTTTATGGTAAGTATTTTATATGAGTCCAATCTATTTTCTTAACCAGGATCTTAAATCATTTAAAGGTAGTCAATTTTGCCGATTGTGGTTCTAATCAAAATTCAAAAAGATGGTTAACTCCTACAAGTACATTAGTGTGTGACAATCTGCTGATGTTATTAGCAACTCTAAACAAATTTCCCAATAAGAACACTTTCAGAATGACTATACCAAATGAATGACCAATATAGGTCCTTCAAAAGTAGCAAGTCTATCAAAACCAGCACGTCAACAAGAATTTTGGCTGACAACAGTTCAAGAATGAACTTGTATAAATATTAAAGATGGAAATAATACCTCCTTCAGTGGAATATTAACATCAAACCGAGATGAAGTTGATCGCAAATGGGCAAATCGACGTAAATCTCTTTCAGCAATCTTAGGAAGAAGGTATTCATCTGAGCCATTGATACAATATGAGTTCATATGTTCAAAATGCATACTAATTGCATGATCGTATTGATGAACATATAGCAAATGTTGCATACTTCAAAAATGCATACTACCTGTTTTTTCAGGAAGCCACTCAAAGAACCGAGTGCATATCTGCTGGAGTCGCTCACGCTGGAATTGACGTTGCACTAGAGATCTACAAGAACAAAGCAGTTAAAAGACTTTGTAGGTAAAAAAAGAAAAGAAAAAAAAAGAAAAAAAAAGGAAAGAAAAAGTTAAACTGTTCTTTTTGTCAAGTGCCTTGTGTTGGTATTTGATCATATAATTAGACTGGTATACAAAAATTTACCTATGGACTACATCAGAGTCAGCTGAGTGGCACTTGGGGTTCATATATGCTTCCACCACTTGCAAATAGTTATTATCTTTTTGCGGAATCTGAATCTCACCTATTGATAATTCAAAGAGTTAAATGTGTCAATTTGAGCAAGATTTAACCTTTTCATGTCAAGATAAAGTTTAATAACACTCGACCAACATCCTTCTAAAAAATTATCTCAATATCAGGCTACTTATATTAAGACCTCTCCAAATACAAGGACATATATAGTAGTTGCCTAATGCTCTTCACAGAAGTCATCTCACAATATGATAAACATTTTTCTGATTCCAGTACTCTTTACAATAGGTTATTACTTTTTAGCTTGGCCACTTGTTTAGGGAACCTTAACTTGATAAACTTTGGAAAACAGTATCTAAATAGAACCAAATGCACAAGCCAGTAATATCCTAAAATATAAAGGTAGTAGGTTACTTCATTCACCATTCATGTTCACTTTGCTAGAAAATGTGGTTGTCATGTTGTTGCATTCGACTTGGCCCTGTCTCTTTGGATTCTTTTTCTTCCTTGTAAAAGAAAGTCCTTCTGACACAATTTTTTGAAGAATATGATTATCCCCAATCGATTTAACAATCTGGCATGCTGCCTCCTGGATGAGCAAAGAATGTGGATCTCATTTTTAATAGCATTTTTCAGAAAAAGTAAAACAACCCACAAATATATTAGAAGCATTGTGATACTGAACATACCAGACCAAGACCATGAACACCCTGAGAGTAATCACTGCCAAGAAGAAGGGCCAAAGAAATCTGAAAGTCCCAGTATCATGAGTTTCCAATCTTAGTGCAATTAAATATTAGATGCTTGAAGAAAAGATGTAAATTACCAAAGAGTTCCTTCCAAATCCAATTTTCTGCTCTATATCATCCATTTCATAACAAACAACATGGCCTCCTTCGCCTAATTCAAATTATAAAAAGGGTTAGCAAGATTGATATTTCTATAAAACAACTGAAAAGAGAAACAATAACCAAATACTCACCAAGGCAAATGTCTCTGTACACTGTCCTGGCGCCGAAAAGGAATATATCTGAATCAGAAGAGAAACACCCATCCTGATAATAGTAAAGTATTTTAAGCGAACTTTGATTATTATAGTATTCCAATCGTACTCACTAAGGTGGCAAAATGGAAGAGCTACTTACACATAAGGATTCTAAGTTTAATAATGCGCACTGTGCTTCAGCTTCTTCGATACTGAATTTCAAATAAATAAAACAAGAGACAATGAAGAATCAGTGTTCAGTTCATTATCAAATATATCAAACAATAAAAAAATATTGGAAATTACCCATCTAAGCAGGGAATTCCAAGTGCTGATCCAAGGTATTTTGCTTCTTTGATCATGCATGAGAATTCAGATCCCATATTCCTTCTAAGAGAAGATAACTTCTGAGAATTTGCCCCATCCTGAGTAGCCTGCCTTGACAACAACTCAAATGCATGAATGAAAATCTTCTCAAGAAACTGTAGCAACAGGAGAGTTCTGAGGATAAATATCAAATACATTGAAATTTAGCATACCTGATTCTCCACCTCATTTCCTGAGTTTAACCGCCGCCTGTATGTAGCTAATTTGATGGCAGGAATTGAACCATCTACCGTATGCGGAAACAAAGTATCAAACTATTACCATACAACTCCAACTAAAGAATGAAAACACCACGCACATTTTTGTTCTTCTAAATTCCTGAAGATATAATTTTCTCCTAAAATACACAACACAATCAAATCAAACTTGAAAGAGTTCAATCCCCAAGCATTGCGAAGGTTCTCCTAAAACTATGCTTTTCAATCCAAGTATACACAATTCAATGTTGTCTCCAAGTTTGAAAAGAAACCCATATCCTACCATACTAAAACTAACGAGTGAAGTGCAAAGGGAACTCACCGGTGACAAAAATAAGGCTGCAATTCAAGGCAATGAGAGCCCTGATGCGGTGAAAGAGACCCATGAGATAAAGCTTGTTCTTCATGGGACAGTGAGACTTGTTAACATTTTGAAGCTGAACCATCCAACAAGACAGATCTATGCATATCCTTTTGTTCTGGAGATGGAGAAGAGGCAACGTTTTCTTGCATGATTCCAAAACATCCCACAAATTCTTTACCCCCATTTTCTCCCCTGGATTCGAAATTGAAAGCCTGAGAAAAAGCGCCAGATATATCATATACGTACTCATGGGCCGGGTTATCAACTCGCCTGAAATCAGACCTGTTTAGCATCAGGCTTGGGCAAAGGTTTTTAGTCCAAGCCCCGCAAGTGCTGGTGAACGGATTCTCCTTATTCCATTTTCGTAGTATACATATTCTTTTTGGGTAAACTACATAAATGACCACATAACTATGGGTCATATTACGAAATGATCATCATTTTTAAAATTGTCACAAATATACCACTGAACTATTTAAATGGGTTAAAAATTGTCATATGATGTTAACATTTAACTTAGATTTTTAAGTGGCAGTTAAAAAAATTAGTATAATTAGGGCATGGGTCCTTATAAAGTTTTGTATTCGCGTCATTGGCATCCTGCTTTGTTTTCTTCCATTTTGACCACAACTTGTATATGATGTGTTTCCTTGGATTTTCATTTAATCCAATTTGATCATGATTTTATTTTTAATTTGTCTAATGCCTTAATTTGAGGATTAACTTTAAAATCTTTTATTCTAGTCATGTATTAAATTTGTAGATTAAATCCTCTAGATTTTAGAATTAATCAATTTGATCACCAAGATTAAATTTAACTATTAATTTTAATTAGGTCTTAATTTCATTTTAATTTAATAAACTTATTTCTCCAATCAAATTATGACACATGTCACAATCTTATGAATATAATTTGAATATTAACTGTAATATATAATATATTTTTGTATCATTAATTATAATATAATATGTATTATAATTTGAATTTTAAATTATTTTTTAATGATTTCATATATATAATCATTAAAAAATAAATATGAAAATAGTAAATTTAGTTGAAAAATATTAAAATCTTATATAATTATAAATAAACTATTAAATTTTTTATTTTAATGATTTAAGTGTTGTCATATTCTCAATTAACTTAATAATATGAAAAATTAATTATATCATATTATTTATTAACTATATTATGTCAATTATATCTCCTTGACATCAAAATAATTTCATAATTAATAAATATTTTTTGACTTCACCACTAACACTTCCAACATAAGCTGCGAACTCATATATATCAAACTGCTTATAGGAGAGGAAGAAGATGATTTGTGAAAGTATGTTTGAATTCATATTTTATTTGCTTGACAAAAGACATATTTTCTCACATCTAGGTCTTTATTTTTTGTACGTTTTACAGTTTAGTAACTCTCTTTACTCCTTCAAAGTCTTACCACTATAGGTGTTCAAAATCAGGTACTTGTGTTTTCATGTATCCGAAATATGGGTACACAAAATTTGTGTGTATCAAAATTTCGACCTGTGTCCCGACGCATTACATCCGGGTACCCGTAAAACTCAGGTACCCATATATTCGAGTCACGGGTACTTGGTTTATAATTTTTTTTTATTTTTTTAGAATTATATTATTTTTAAAAAATATATATATATATAGAAAAATCTAAAATTTAAAGGTCTATAATATATAATTCACACATAAAGTTTAAAAAATCAAATTAAATAATTGAAAAAATATTAAAAATTAAAAAAGTTAGAATTAAATTTCAAATGTTCCAAAGTTAAATTAAATATTTAAAAAAATAATTTAGAATGTTATGGTGGCAAAATTTAAGAAATTAGGAATTTAAAATGTTAAAGTGAAATAATTTGAGAATAAAAAATAAAAAATTTAATATAAAATAAAAATAAAAATATATAATAAACCAAGTATCGGGTATGCGGGTACCCAATTAAACAACATTTTGTTATATTAAATTGAAATTAGGACCTAATTAAAAATTAAGAATTAAAGTTAATCTTGGTGTTGAAATTGATTAATTCTAAAATCTATGGGATTTAATCTAAAAATTTAATACTTGATTAGAATTAAAGATTTTAAAGTTAATGCTCAAATTAAGGCATTAGAAAAATTAAAAAAATAAAATCATGATCAAATTGTATTAAATGAAAATCCAAGGAAACAAATCATATAAAAGTAGTGACCAAAATAGAAGAAAACAAAGCAGGGTGCCAGCACTTCAAATACGTAACTTTACAAGGACTCGTATCCTAATTATACCAATTTTTTATCTTCCACGTAAATACCTCCGTTAAATGTTAACGTAGCGTGGCCAGTTTGAATCCGTTTAAATAGTTCAGTGGTATATTTGTAACAATTTTAAAAATTGTGGTCATTTCGTGACCTGGGCTATAGTTAGGAAGTCATTTATGTAGTTTACCCTTTTTTTTTAAATCTTAAACTAATTTATAATTTTTTATGGAATAATTGTTGAGACTTTCATTGAAAGGGGTAAAAATAGTGAACATGAAAACGTGCAAGAATAGCTTTGGTTTCCAACGATATTTCTACATAAACTAAATAGACATAAAAAAACTTGAAAACAGCTGGAAAGTAGTACAAGCAACCAACAAAACATAAACAAATCACGGAAGGAGCTATAAAGATAAATACAAAAAAATCTTAATTATATGTTAAATTATTAATGTATAAGTTGTAGATACTCGTTTTTGTTCGGGTCTACAAAAATATTATTAGTATATTATTATTATTATTATTATTATTATTATTATTATTTTAACAATTACATTATAATTTTTACAGGCCCATTACAAGCAACCAGCCCCAGTAAACTCAAGCCCAACTATAACCGAGGTCCACTCTTCAACCAAACTGGGATTAGACCCGATCTAGACCCGATCCGACTTGTTCTGGCCCAACAGTCAACCCGACCCAGATTAATTAGGGTTTACAACCTTAAGTCATCCAGCCGCTGTCAAATGAAGGTGGATCGTCTCACCGATGCGTGTCATTCAAGCGCCCGATTTTCAAATTTCAAACGCGCGTAAGCTTCACCGGAGCCTCCTCAGTCGTATATCATCATCGCTGTCATCAACAGTGGCCGAACAGTGCAAAACAGAAACCAAAATAGTGAAAAAAATCAATCATCAAGTATTTACAAAATCAAAATCCTATACCTAAATCCTGATTTTTTTCGAGATTTAATCATGCAAAAATCAAAGACCCATCCCCCTATTTTTTCTAGACATCATCATTCCAATAACGGGGACAAAAGCATCCATTAAATCATACAAGCAATAGAGAGACATGGGGCATTCAGGGGGATTTAAAAAAAAAGAGAAAATAGAGGAAACCCAAGGGGATTCGAACGAGGAAAAAAAAGAGAGATAACGGGTTTTTTCCAGGAAAAATAGAGAGAGATTCGAAAAATAGAAAGAAAAAGGAAAATATAGAGAAACAAATAGAAAGAAAAAGGAGAAGAATCGAAACATACCCTGTGAATCTGGTCTTTGACAACTTCGCCGGAGTTGGAATAGCCCATCGCCGATGGTAAAACCTTCTTTGTTCTGGCATCTAGGGTTTTAAATAGGGTAGTCTTGGGCCATTTTTCTTATGGCATCGCCGCAGACTGCGGCGGCTGTGGCTCTTAAAATATCCTCATGGTGAAGGAGTGAAAAGAGAAACGAGAGAGTCTGGTTCTCTCTATCTCTCTTCTGGCTTAGATGAAACTGAAAGAAATGAAGGGGTTGGCCTATTTTGGCCTTGGTTTGTTTTATATATATATATAAGACACCGTTTCAATATGGGCTTCTCCGTGTTTTCTGGTTAAGGGTATAATAGTCATATATGTCCTTATGCCTTTGTAACTTTACTTTTTCAGCCATTAAATGAAAGTTTATTTTATTTCGTTTTGAGTATTTATGTTTCTGTATTTCTATTTTAGTCATGTTATTATGTGTTATATTATTTTTGTTAATGTTTGACTTTGAGAATGATATTTGCAAATCTATTATTTTAGTCACTATTTTACTTTTGGTTTAATTATTATTCGACCTTCATGTTTATGTTTTAATGCATTTCAGTCTTTTATGTTATTTATGGGTTATGTTGAAAACATTTTGATGTTTCGATATAACAAATAAAGTACTATTGAATTTTAAGATTTTATATTCGATTCAAAATTATATATTCAATTAAATTATTCGAATATTTACTCTAAGTTTTCAAATGCCAATTTTAATTCTTACTTAAGACTAAAATAAGGGTACCGATACACCCCAATTTTGAATAAAATAAGGGTACCGATACATAGCCGAATGTACCGATATACTTCAGTTAAAATTGGATCAGAGAAACATCAAATGCAATTAGTGTACTAATACCCCTGGGAGGTACCGATACACTTGGTCAAATAACGGTCAAAATATTTGAATTTTACACTGGGTGTATCGATACCCTTTGATGGTGTACTGATACCCCTACGCTCCCAACATAATATTTAAATGGAAAACATACAACAACGACTATATTGACTTCACCAATGATCCCCAACGTTCAAAAGTGATCCAATGATATACCAAATTTTTTATTGCGAATTCACCCCCCTCTTGGCTATTTCGTCGATTGATTAACTCAACAATTGGTATCATAGATACACTCATTTGAAGGTTTTACCACCTTTTGAGTCGATTCAGGAAGAGTTATATCGATATTCAAATCATCAATGACCTCCACATCAAACTTCGACTTCGTTATTTTTCTCAGCCTGTCAACAAGCCTCTTTTCTTCATTGGAGCTAACTATGCTTATTGGAGGAATACGATGAGGTACTTCATTCAAGCTAGTGACATGGGAGCATGGAAACTCGTGATGAACCACATATCCAAATATGTGGAGTGAAGAAGAGACGAGAATGTTCTAGCTCAAGTCAAAGGCTATCCATATTCTTTTTTGTGCATTTGGACCAGATGAATACGGGAGAGTTTCATCTTTCACAACCGCCAAGGAGATATGTGATAAACTACAAGTCACTCATGTAGGCACCGACGAGGTTAAAGAATCCAAAATTAGTCTTCTTACTCATAGCTATGAAAATTTCAGGATGAAACCGAATGAAGAAATCAAAACTATGACGGATAGATTCTCCGTGATTATCAATTGCCTTAAAGCGTTTGGAGAAGTAATCCCCAATGAGAAGCTTGTGAGGAA